GTCGAATTTAACTTAAATTTTTAGGCAACTTTTTTGAAGCTGGAATAAATTCGGTTAGGTTAGGTTAGTGTTGGATTATCGAAAAATTTTTTTTAGAAAAATTCATATTTTTCTAACAAAAAATTTGAATATGGAAACATATTACACATACAACTTACAATTGACATTTATTAATATTGAACGCAAACGATAAAACCATTATAAAAAGACTTACAAAATGCTATGATTCTTCTTTTTTTCTAGTAGTAGCAGTAGAGCTTCTTGTGAAAGAGTTCGCATAGGGAAATACTGCCACCTTCTCTATTTTTGCCGCCCAGCAGTAATGTCAGCATTACTGTGTTACGGTTTAGAAGGGTAAGGGTGCTGATGAAATTACAGGCACATGGGACTTGTGAACTTAGGTATGTCACAGGGTGACGGGCGCAGTGGCAGTACACATCAGATCTTTGCTATTTAAAGCACCGAGTGGCACTGCAACTGTTATGGACAGTGGCCTGTAGCTTACCATCCGGCCCACGACTTGTACGTCGCGTCACTTGATATTATAAAAAAAAAACAAAATCTCGTTTTACTCTAACTTGCTTTCACAAAGTTATTTTATAATATTAATAACACTTCAAAAGATATGTGGAAACATAGAAAATAATATGAGCCGTCGAATTGTATTTTTCCAATTTTTCTAAAAATTCTCAACAGTACGTAGGGCTAACATGGCATTGCTACGTGTATCCGAATTCACTTACAGTTGATTCACAAGGGAATTCCCGTTGTTTAATTTATTCGGATTATTTGGCTCAACGGATATTGATATTTTTGTTATTGAATAGATTATGCTGTTTTGTGCCACTTTGTACTTTCTGTTGTGTGCGTTTTTCGCCGCCGACTTAAAACAATGGGCGGTCTTTAATTCGACTGGAGGTGTAATGTTGATGTTTTTATTACATATATGGAGAAAGTGATATAAATGAAAAAGTTACAAGTATATCGCGAACCCATTAGGTACTTACATCGCGCTCTCCATTCGATTTTGTCCCAAATTTTAGCCTAGTTTGCATCAGAAACAAGAAAAAAGACATTTATCATTTAGTTCAAACGTTAATACCATATAAAATAAAACAAACAATACATAGTTTTATGTATTGTTTGTTATTATGTATTATGTATATTATATATTATGGCCTACATTTATTTCTCTCGTGAGTTTGGGTGTAATTTGTGGTTGTCTATGTGTGTGTCCATGGCACCCGCGACACAGGGTTTCCCTAGTTCGGGGCCATGTTGAGTGTGTGCGTTATAAAAAAAAAATGTATACTGCATATTGTTTACTCCATCTTTACTTACGTTTCCTTTGTATTGTAGTTAGTGCTTTATTTCCTTTTGCGTCATGATTTTGGTGATAATGGATTTGGTTGTTTTTAATCATTTACAACTAGGTATACCTAAAAAAAAGTATACCTATTTGATAATGTAACTACACAATTAACATACTTATCCGAAGTTAAATACAAAGAATCGTTTTTTTTTATTTTAACTCTGTCATTCTCGGGCTAGTGTTCACTACCTACATTCCGTGGCAATTTATTATTTAAATATTCAAGTATATAAACGTGTACTTATTAAATAATATCTCACGATACAGTAGTCTAGTCACAGTACTCTAGTAGTATTGCACGATAAACATAACGAATACTTAAATAATAAAAATTGCCACAAAAATTTGGTAGTGAACACTAGTTCGAAAATGATCGACTTAACATCACACAGTACATTTACTCAAATATTTTATATAAATAAAATAAAATAAAATAAAAGTAAATATATACATAATTTTAATAAGAAAGAAGATATCCCTAATGTTAACTTTAGAGCTAAGTCTAAACTCATGGTACCAAAATTTCTTTTAACCAAGGTAAACGAGTTTTCTATGGGGAACTGTATCCGTTTTTACAATAAGATTCCGGAGCATATATTAAGATTATCATTTCCTAAGTTCAAAAACTACATTAAAAATATTTTTATTGAAAAGTCATATTACAAAATTGAAGACTACGTGTTAGATAAAGATAAGGAAAGACGGCATGGCTCCAGATTCCACACAAATTTAATTCCATAGCATTTAAGTTTATTTGAAAAGAGCAATCCCTAGAGTTTCTTGCTCGTTCTTCTCAGGGAGGTCAGCGTAGTGAACGAGCAGTAGCTTAAATGTGATGTTTTCAAGTGTAAATTATTTTACCTATGGAATTAATAATTCTTTGACTTTGACTTCATTTTGTTTGTTAGCAACAAGGGCCGCTGTATACGACAAGCGTTAGACGTGCATTCAACACGAGTACAAGTAAGCTGAAATGTTTACTCAGTGATATGTTTTCTCTTCAAATATGTAGTACTATAACTGTTTAACGTATTTAATTTCGTTATTTCTATCTATTATGTTTTTCAACTTACTTTATACAATGTTTGTATCATTGTAAATAATTATTTGTGAATTTTTTATTAGCCCTCAGTATACATGCACTGGTCTGTCAGGTGTGTATAAGCTTTTCGAAAATGATGAAAAAAAAACACGTGCCGACTACACGAATTGTATTTCTTAAATCGCAGTAGGCGTTCAAATGCCCACACGCGTGCTACGCTTATCATCTGAACCGGTCCTAAATATGAGTGGCGTAAGACCTTGATTACTCATAATGAGGATCTCCTAGTTTGGGAGCTAGCGACAATTTTGTATCTGCTTTTGTGTCGTTAGTAATTTTGCAACAAAAAGGTGAAAGTCTCATTTTGAGATATGAAAGTTCCCATGTTCATGTACCTACATTCAAGAGCGACTCTAAAATTAAACTTCGACACACGCTACTCCGACAATATGTTACATCGATATGACTTTACTCGAATATTATGCTACTCTGACATGTTACATCGACATGATTTCACTCAGACTCTACGATACTTCGACAACACACGAGATGTTTCTTAAAAAATATTTGTACTCAAGTAAGTAATGTAAGAAGTAAGTAAGTAAGTAAGGTAAAAAGTAAGTAAATTCATCATTACAAACCCATGTGGGAAATGGTTTCTTATTATATATCGATCAAAATACCAAAAAAAAAAACAAGTATAATCGAAAAATTCTTCTATTAATTCTATAAAGTCTAACAAAAAATTATTAAATTAAAATATAATATTTTATTATATTTTTTTATCGAGGGTCTAAAACAAGCCAATATAAATTTTGTAGAACGACGTAGGGGGAGTAAAGTGCGTTATTTAATTCCTACGTACTAAAAAGTACGTGGTACCTGTAAAAAGAATAATAGAATAATAATATTGTAAATCGTATGTCTCATTAAAGATGTAATGTATCACCTTGTTATAACCTGTATTTATAAAATTTTGCTTATAAAACTTGTATATCGAATTTTCTATGTAGGTGGTTTGCTCCCCTGTATACGCCTAAGTGGAAGAAAATAGATTTGTAGTGCTATAAATTAAATATACGATAAGATCTTTCCGATATAAATAATCTCCTTTATATAAAGAACGAAATATATATTATAATAATTATTCAATTTTCATTTATTTTTGGAATAACTTAACGAAATATTCCGTGACAAAATTGTTATCGTGTTTTGTGAAAAAGGTAAGATATTTTTTGTGGTTTTTATACTTAATAAGTCATGTAGTCATATACATATAAGCATACATAGCAGAAAAGCAGCGATGAACCTAGTTGATAGAACGCGTAGCGTGCGTCACAAGCAGGAGATTTGAGTAATTTTCAAGTTAGTTTTCTGTGGGGTAGCGTGGTCGACAGTGACCAAGTGTACACCATGAACCGCGCCAATAACCCAGAAACGCAATATTGGAATTTGGTGCAAATCGCACCTGGTGCGCTTTTAATATAGGCACCTCTCTTTCTAGTCTACAGCGAGCTAGCGGCACAGAAGAACGAAATTGTTCTCGCACACGCGAGAAGAAAAATTTCGTTTGACTTGTCTGTGCAGAAGCTGCATGTTAATAGATATAACAGATTAGCCAGCAATGCTTTTTATTGAGGTAGTTAAAACAAGCAACGGGTTTTTAGGCACATTGCTACATAATCTCAAATTTTACAAATATGGGGTGTAGCAGAATGAACCACTTTTAAGGTGTATGAACCTATGACAACTCAGTGATAATTCGATTAAAATTTAAACACGAAAATGTTGACTGCTAAATAATTAAAAAAAAATCACAAAGTAAGTGCGCGACTGAGTTACAAACTTTCTATTTTAAATTTGTCAGTAATTTTCAGGTAACTTTTTTGTACTCAATTTTGAATTATCCTTGTGAGACTCAAGTTGTTTTTTTGGGTCTAATTCATTATTATGTTTTTAAAAGCGTGTGGTTTTTTTTAAAATTATGCTTAATATTTCTGTTGGATGCACAAAAACTAAGTAGAAGTACTACTTTATAATACCCAGTAAAATTACCTATAATTCTAAGCAAAAAGTGTATAATTTAGGTTCAAAAGTTCTAGTTGCTGATGAGATTCTTATAAAATACGAGTTCAACAATTGTCACTTCCACCTAAGGGTAAAACGTTTATTACATTAACCCGATTTAAAGGGTCCTAAGCGCGTTTACGTATTGCATCCTATTCGTATTCGTTCCGAATCCGAGACTATACAAATCTGGAAAACTCGAACCGACTTCGGATGTCGCTTGTGCACTACGTCCGATTCGGATCCGAGAAAATACGAATATTGCTAGTACACTTACTGATAAAATGATTCCTGTGACAATTCGGACCATCATTTCTCGGATTCGGAACTCGGACGCAGTGCGCAATATATATATATATATACATATATATATGTGTATAAGTGGCCCAAATTAAGGACCTCAACAGTCTTATTTTTATTACACCTCCCTAGTTTAGGGTTTTAAATATAATAACCGTGTAAGATTAATTAGATGTTTTTAAATTTTAGTTAATCAAGATGAGAATTAAGGGAATGGTCAGAACAATGTACGACTATGCTGAGCGTTATATTACTCTTCGGGACTGCGAGGTGGTTATCGACGGACAGAGTTTCTTCTATCAATTGTATAGAGTCAGCGGTTTGCAGTCTATGTTTGGATGTGAGAGCGACAAATATGCTCAGTTCCTACGAAACTATTTGAGTAAATTTAAAAAAGCCAACGTCAAATGCTACTTCTTTTTTAAAGGAGGTCACGAGGATGCCTCTAAAATGTGGAATAAAAATAATCCACACAAAACTGAACAGTTTAAAATCGGTAAAACAGCCGTTGGAAATGTAGATTGCAAACCACTAATTTTCACAAAAGAAGTTTACGAACAAGTATTGGAAGAAATGCATTTTGACTACGTTATTTGTCAATACGAGTCGAAAAGGGAATGCATTGCATTTGCACAAACACGAAATTGCCCAATAATTAGCTACGACATTGAATATGGCTTTTCTGGAGTTCCGTATATTTCTGCTAATCCTCACTCAAAAGAGCATCTTAATATGCCTCGATGCAAAGTATTTACCTTGGATAATTTAATGCGTAAGTTTCTAATAGACAAAGAAAAAATTGCCATTTTCATTGTGCTGACTGATGAATATATATTCCCAGAAAATCACTTCCAGAATTTTATGGAAGCCAAGAATATACCCCTAAGTCCGCAGCACGTCAGAAACGAAAAGATTTTTGACTGGCTTTCACGTGTTGACAGTCCAATTGCTTTAAGTCAAATCTTCGAATACATAACACCAGAACATCAAACATTTTTTTCGAAAAAGAAAGAAGAAGTAATGGCGTTCATACGTCGACAAGAGAAACCGGGTTTGCCTTCGCAATATTTGGAGAGTCAGATGAATCTTCAGTTCGTGGAAAATGATCCACAATGGTTTGAAAAGGGAGTTGTGACAAAGGCTGTTGCAATTCCGTACGTTAATTTGTACCGATGGCAGACGATGCCAGGTTCGTGGGCCACCACAGACAATGGTGCTTCTGAGGCGTTGCTGCTCTCCTTGGACATCATAAAATATGCATTCGGTTTGCTAACGAATTTTGGTAAAGACGAATTTAAGATTGTACGCGAAACGTGCTTGGGCATTATGGAAGAGATTTCGGAAAATATGCCAAGTAACTTTCGGAAACCGATTTATAATGCTATAGAAAGTCCATTTGAAAATGGCTGGAGTCGAGTGCGCTCACTTGGCTTATTCGAGCATTTTCTGACGGAAACATTGCCAATGTTTGATTTAACTATTCTGAGGAGGCTGCCTGAAGATGCAAGACTCCTTGTCATAGCTCTTGTTTACTTTTCACGTAAAAAAACTGAGATTGCCATTAACGAAGTCTGTAGTGTGCTATTATCGTATTTGGTACTAAATGTTCTTTCAGATCCTGTGGATGGGGATACAGGCATTGATAACCATCTGATACTCTATGCAGACAAACTTGCAGCAAGACGTAACTTAGCGGAGTATTTGGATGAATTGGCGGAAGATGATGATATGGTTATTTTCGATGGACAAAGGATTCATACTATTGTGGAATTTCAGCTTTGTTTGCAGCATTTGAATTTCTTAAACCGTCTTTGTGGTCGACCATACCAATCAACGGTTTACAGCAAGACGTATAACGGAACTTTGGTGCACAGAATCTTGTTTTCTTTAACAAATCAGAATGAAGGCACTTGTGCGTTTATAGAGAATAAGCTGAAAACAGCTCCAACTGTACTCGCGTTCTGGAATCGACTTATCGGTGCGTTTGACGAAATCAATTAAGCAAGAAGCATTATGCCACCTTAGTGTTTAGTTACAATTTATTACAAGGCGGACCATGACCTGCAACGCAAGACCGGTCGCTCTTTTGGGGGACGCCTATATACAAAGCAGTGGACGTCTTTCGGCTGAAATGATGATGATGAATTTGTTATCCTAAATACAAGGATAATTGGAAAAACGCTATGTGACTCACGATTTGGGTGCGTTTCTAATAGCCCTTGTTTGCCTTATTACATTGCTTCGCCCTGTCCAATGTGGAAATTTGATAATATTTATGTTTTGTGACATTTCCGAAATAGTTTTTTAGAAATCATGTTTTGTACAATTTCTGCAAATAATCTCTAAAAAAAATCTGTCAAAATTAACAAACTAGACATTTTTATTTTCCATGATTTTCCCATGACAACTTATTTACCAATATCTAAATTAACATTAAAGTTTTGAATAAATGTTTGATTCTAAGTTTGGAAATAGAAGAATGTTCAACAAGGGTAATACTTAAGACGCTGACAAGCGTCGATGACCTTGAGCGATAACGTGCCTACTATAATTTCTCCAATAAGGTGGCGCCATACGCCCCGATGCGGTAAGAGCGTGGTAGTTGGACCTTCCGCTTGATTTAACATAAAATTGATTGCCACTAACTAACAGATGGCGTTGTATTTAAAATCCACACATGCTATCAAACCAAAAAATATCAAAGCATAAAGAAACAAGAAAAAACCCACACCTCGAGTGAAATTGAATTATGTATTTAGGTAGAATACCAAACGTGTCCTTTACCCGCTCACAAAAGATCCTGGCAACATACCAAGCCAAAACGGAGAAAATAAAAGTCCTTCAGGGTACCAACCCTAAATAAGTAACTTTTTAATAGCTAAAAAGAACCTTGCTGCTTAACTTCATATAACGTCTTTTTAAAAATATGCTAAACGGATTCATGTCACATGTACTGAAGTACTGTAGATCTTTGGCGTTTTCATTACGAAAACCAGAATATGGTTCTCGTTAACTAAATAAAAAGATACATAATGTTTTCTATTTATTGCTATATAATATAATAGTTTCCCTATATCGTTCTCGCTGCTATAGTACATCGTTTGTCTCAAATAGAGATGCGCCGAGTACAAGTTTTACCGAGTAACCGAGTACCGAGTACTACTCGGTTTAACATTTGCCGAGCCGAGTACTCGGCCGAGTTACTCGGTTCATTACAACCGGAACGCGATGATCCTAAAAGCCCCCGTTGCTCGTTACGGCGGATATCCGGACCGAGCCATCCACCACTGATACGCATTCATCGGTGTCTCTGGTGGACCTTGGCCTGGGTATGGACTCGGCAGGGTTCGTGGTTAGGTGCGGGGATGAACACGTTCGTCTGCCCCGGTGGGATGTGGCCGGGGTGATCGTCCCGTGCGCAGCTAGCGCGTCTTGCGGTCTAGACGAGGGCCTAAGGCGAGGAGACCTGCGGAGCATGTGAGTTGCTCTTTATGTCGGGAGCTATGTCTGAACATTGGCAGGATACTATATATACATTTTTAGACTTTGATTTCATCTAAGGGTCCTATTTCAGAACTCTACTCAATGCTCAAGTCAGGACTTGTGTATGATTTAAAGCACTGAAAATCATACTCAAGTCCTTGCCATTAGGGTCGTATTTCCAGTGCTTGAAATCGTACTCAAGTCTGCTGTATTGCTTGAGTATAGTTCTGGAATACGACCCATAGAATCACTATCACACACACACACACACACGCACACGCACACGCACACGCACACTCACACGCCCACGCCCACGCACACGCACACGCACACACACACACACACACGCACACAGACGTATTTTCGTTTTTAGCTTGCTTGCGTGACTGGCTTTGCGCATACGCAAAGATCTAACGCGTACGTGCTGGCAAGACTGTTCACGAGCCTCTCACTTACGCTGGCCGCTTGCTTTGCGTTGGATTTCTTTGCGTTGCGTGAGTTTCATATCTAGCAAGCTTGATATTTCCACGCAAGCAACAGGGTATGTTTGCGGAGGACAGCACCACTGGCTAACCATAGAGCAGAAGTGTCCACGCGTTCGTGCGACCTTTACAACCAAAACAAAGGGAAGGCGCCGTGCATGCGCGCAAGTCTTGTGCCAATGCCTTTACTCAGCCAACACAAGCAAACGAAAAACGCATCCACCACGCATTACTGCTGACGCTAGTGCATCAGCAGTAATGAGTGGTAATGAGTTCAGTAATTTTCTCGTAAGTTTTTGTACTCAATTTTGGTGATAATTTTTATTATTTAATTACTCGAATATATTATCGTGAAATATTAAAGAATATTTCGGTTACCACACTCGAATATGAAATATTACTTCATGATGATATTCTATAAATATTTAAATAAAAAGAAATTGTCACTAAAATTGAGTTTAAAAACTTACCTGAAAATTATTCGGTCGTGGTCAACAATTTTAAGTCAAGTAAACAGGCGGTTTCATTTTTAATGAAACGAAAATGTCCTCTTGCATGTGTCAGAAATCTGTCAAAAACACATGTTAAATAAAGTGTATCCAGTTAAAAAATAGATCTTATTTGGACGAGGCACAGTTGATTTTTGGTTGTGTATGATTGACTTCTTTGACATTGGCAAAGTTTTACCATTTCCTTTTCATACGTAAGTCCGTGGTAAGTCCACAAATTAGAAAGATATCTTTGGTCTGTCCGTTTAGCACACGTTTGACTAATTTGACTTTGATACCTTTCTTTGGACAACACTGTATTCGCTATATACTTAAAGTTAATTAATTCGACGAAAGTTGATTTGCTGCTACTAACATTTTAATTGCGAAGAATAAAAAAGTTTGAAAGGTTATATTATAGGTTATATTACCTTTTCGCGGTATTATCTAGAACGAAAAGTTTGTTACCCACTAAAATGTCTTTTAAAATCCCCAACGTGAGCCTTTCAAATGGTGTGAAGATGCCCATTATTGCTTTGGGCACCTATGCTGTAAGTTATCTTTATTTTATGCATATTTTTTATTAAAAGTGTAGGTATAGCCGAGATTTTGGCATGACCCTTAATGTTAATTTTACCGTAAGAACAAGTAAATTCGGGTTAGAATTGATAATATACTCTTATAAAATAACTACGTGATTTATGGAGTTCTAATTGAATAAATTTAATTTCGTAGAAAATAATTTTTGAAAACAGGTACCCTCTATATTAAACCGCCGTTTTAAATCCCAATCCATAATTGCCTATTGAAGCTGTATTATATATATTATGTATACTATTAGCTGTCTGTATTTTTTTTAACTAGAACTACACTCATTAAGAAAAAAGAGGTAGAACTATGTCCGCCATCTCACCTCATAGAAAGTGACGAAGAGGTGAGATGGAGGTCAAATGCGCACTTATAATAAAAAATAAAAGAATTGCTATAATAATAAAATTATTTTAATTATAGTAGTTTAATTATAGCATTAACATCCTGCTAAGTACTAATACTTTGGTCTTATTATTATTTTTATTTTAAACTCTCGCCTCTCCCAAGGCCTAAAAGGTTAATTTTGAATTTTTAAATGGGAGAGGCGGTATTTCCCGGCAATGGCACAGTCGGCTAGGGTCAGGGACTCAGGTCCATGAATCGGCGAACAATACGTGCCGTATTGAGCAGGACCGCCTTCTGCATTTGTGCTGGAAACGACACGCCACAGAAATCCAACACGTCCAGAAATCCAAAATGTTTTTTGAAAAACACAATTTTCCCGAAATTGTGTAATTCGAGAAGAAGTGGTAATTAAGTACAATAGAATAAAGAAATAGCATAAAAAAAATGGTAATTGAATTGGCATGTTTTCACATGACAGGAGTTTGGAAGGAACTGAACTGCTTTCTATAGAGTTTTAGTGATGTTCAAAGTAGCGATGCACGACTTTGAATGATACTAATAGTAATCATTCGAATGGGCAAATCATTCGGATAAGTCGATTCCAAGCACAATAATTTGACTCGAGTTTAATGATTTATCAATACCGAATGCCTTACAGTCGGTTGGGTGCACAAGTTGAATGATTACTCATACTACATATCCAGTGATGTATGGAATTAGTTTGCTCTCTACATTCGGACATTCGAGGCAACGTGCTGCAACAATTATCGAAATTACAGATACTACTGATAATAGATACTACAAAACTGAAAAAAAACGAAATGTTACTAAATGTTATAACAAAAGAGTTATAGAATATTTTTATAATATTGCTAAGGTCATAATAATTTTCGTCCCTTTGTTTTCAAAATCGATCAGAATCGAGAACAGTGTTGCCTAACGTAAACATCACTAAAAGTTAAATTAAGCCAAAAGAATGTACAAGCGGCCATACCACGAAACTGAATGCATTATACAAAAGTGCGTTTGTTCATGGCGTATTAACAAAGGATCACAAATATATCTCACTAAGTAAAAGCCACAATGTATTACAAATCATGAGGCATGCACTGGGTTGCATATTTGTTTTCTCATAATTCACACAAATCCAAAATAATTGTTTTTAAAATAAATTATGCATCTTTTGATTACATAATCACTTGCCCGTGGAAGGAAACGTCCCTATTTACACGTTTACCTACAGTTATGATGCTTTTTCAGTTTATAATGGCAGAATTATGCATTTTTCGCGTTTTCGACTGGTGTTTATCTACGATCGAGCGCGTTCTGAAGTGTAGCAGCGGCAAGTAAGTGAATTTCACTTACTTTGGGCGCGCGAAGTACGTACACTTGCGGCGTCTATTTAGATATACATATGTCTGTGGTAGGGCCTAAAAGTCTTAGTTCCGAATATGACAGCCAAACATTTCTTCTCCGTCACGCTGTAATTACATTCGGCTTTATGTAAAGTTCAGGATGCTTAGGCTACAGGGCGATCATTTCCTACTGTTCCTTGGGATAAGATAGCGGAAATAGCGTAATTTGATGCATCGCACGTTAGGATAAATGGTTTCGTGAAACAGGGTAAATTAATATTGGGGCTGAAGTAAGAGCATTTTTTAGATTTTCAAAAGCTAATTATTGTTCATTTTGCCAACTGAATGGGACTCCTTTTTTCAGAAGATGAGTAAGAGGTTTGGCAATTTGTTGATAAATTTTCGTATAAAACGTCGGTAGTATGACATTAATCCTAAAAAGGATTTTATGTTTTTAGGGGAAACTGGAACTGGGAAATTTTCTACGGCTTTTATCTTTTCCGGGTTTGGTTTAACACCTTGATCGGTGATGATATGACCAAGATAAGACACTTCTTTACGAAGAAATTCACATTTATCTGGTTGTAGTTTGAGGTTGTAATTACGGAGTCTATTGAAAACATTAGAAAGGTTATTCATGTGAGTTTCAAGGTCATAAGAGTAAATCACGATGTCATTGAGGTAGACAAAACATTGGATGCCTTGCAGGCCTGAGAGAGCGGAGTTCATTAACCTCTGAAAGGTTGCTGGAGCAGTCTTAAGTCCAAACGGCATACGGGTAAAAATCAAAATGTCCTTGAGGAACCGAAAATGCCATCTTGCTCTGCCATATTGACTTGATGGAAACCAGAAGCAAGATCGAGGGTGCTAAAATATTTACTTTTACCGAGTTGATCTAATATTTCAGATATATTGGGAATTGGATATGAGTCGCCAATAGTTATGTCATTTAATTTGCGGTAGTCTATTACTACACGCTATTTCCGTTGCCCAGATGCTTCTGATTTTTTTGGTACCATCCATTTAGGGGAAGACCATGGAGATGTTGAGGGTTTTATAATTCCTTCATCAAGCATTTTATTGATTTGAGATTGTACTTCTTGCTTGTGTATATCCGGAAATAGATAGGATTTAGTATTGATAGGAACGGAGGAGGAAGTATGAATTTCATGTTGTAGAACGTCTGTGGACGTAAGTTTATCTCCAGGTATATGGAAAATATCAGAATAATTAGAACAGAGGTCATATAAAGCATTTGTTTTTTCCGTGTTCAGGTGAGAAACTCTTAAAAGGTCTATCACCTTCTCAGTTCGATTTAGAACATCACCGTTCTGGTACTCATTGAAATGGGTTATGTAATGAATTCCAAGGGCATTATTCTTATCTAAAGGTAGGATTTTGAGTTTCAGGTTAGAGTTAATGTGTAATGATGATTCGCATGTATTTACGATAGAAATGTTAATTCTGGAGTTTTACTATGCAATTTGCTATCAGAAGAGAGTCAATTTGTTTTTCATCAAGGATAAAACCTGACGCACAATGATGTCATATGTTAACGTACAAGATTCGTAATGAATGAAAATGAAATCATGTAAACTATATTCAAATATCATAGTCGTCTTAGTGCGAAAAGGCTCGCCTACAGCCTTGTTGCCGTTTAGTCAATGTGACCGTCAATATGCGGGGCGTGGTGCGGTATCTACAGCTAGGGAGGAGCGGAGAGTGTCCATTCTCGTTACTTTTTTAACCGACTTAAAAAAAAGGAGGAGGTTCTCAATTCGACTGTATGTTTTTTTGTATGTATGTTACGCGATAACTCCGCCATTTGTGAACCGATTTTGATGATTCATTTTTTGTTGGAAAGAAGTGGTCCCTAAATGAGACCACTTCTGAGGTACCCTCTTTGAGGAAATTGAAGAAAAGTATTCGACCGCTAAAGGTGGTAAACTAGGGGATGAATGACTTTCGAGGTCGGTTTTTTTCATCTCTGCCATTTCACCAAGTACCAAGTATAGCAGTCAAGTTTAGGATGATGCCAATTATGTCAATAACATCTCTTTAATTATTTATAGCGAAAAGCAGAACCAGGTCAATTCCGCCAAGCAGTTGAGTGGGCTATAGAGGCAGGTTACAGGCATATTGACACAGCATCTGTATACAACAATGAAGAAGAGGTTGGAGAAGCTATTAATAATAAGATTAAACAGGGACTTGTTAAAAGGGAACAACTATTCATCACCACAAAGGTATTAAATATTCATTAATTAATTATATTTCACATTTACTGGAATACTTAATATTAGGGGTTAAAGTATGAAATTGCCGTTTTATTGCAATAGG